CATCCTTGGCCGAGAGACATCTCGGGAGGGAAGACTTGTAAAATGATTAAAGCCACATCCTTGGCCGAGAGACATCTCGGGAGGGAAGACTTGTATAATTTAACACGAAGACGAAACAATTGACAAGCTTGAATACTGAGAATGCTTTTTCATTAATGAACTGGTGCCTCGTTAAAAACCTTGCCAACCAAAAACCCCTTTTAACAATTTTATAAGAGGAAAAAAGATCGGTTCAAGGAAAAGAGTGCACCATTTTACACGCAGTTGAAATGTAAATACAGGTTTAGCTATAATATGTCTTCAGATGAGTGGAGTTCCACGTTTTCAGAATGATCTTGCCGGACAGTTCTTCCAGCTTGTATGCTCCATTGTGGAGTGCGTGCCGTATCCGGAACGGTCCGTCCCAATTGGCATAGAGCTTCCCTTCGGATGAGTTGCGCCTGGCCGACCCAGTCGCTCGCCAAACAAGATCTCCTTCATGAAACGTCCTTGGCTTTAAGTTGGAATTAAAGCGTCTACTCATGCGTTGCTTGCAGGCCTCGACTACAATTTATGCCCTTTCTCGCACTTCATCAAGGACATCGAAGTGTTGTCGTCGAAACGAAGGTTCTCCTACTTCAACCGGAATCATTGCATCTGCGCCATATGTTAGGCGAAAGGGTGTCTCCTTGGTTGTTGATTGTGGTGTACACCAGTATGCCCAAAGGACTTCCGGTAATTCTTCAGCCCATGCACCTTTAGCCGAACCAAGTCGTTTCTTGAGCTCTATGAGGATAACTTTGTTCGCTGCTTCGGCCTGGCCGTTTGATTGGGGATGCTCGACTGATGTGAACCGGTGACGAATACCGAGATTTTCAAGGAAGGTGTTGAACTTCTTGTCAGTAAATTGAAGGCCGTTGTCCGAGACGATGGCATAGGGAATGCCGAAGCGGGTAACCAGATTTTTCCAAGCAAACTTCTGGACACTCGCTGCGAAAATGCAAGCGAGTGGTTCGGCTTCTATCCATTTTGTAAAATAATCTACTGCAACCAAAAGAAACTTAACTTGCCCTTTTGCCATAGGGAATGGTCCAAGCACATCGATACCCCATAAAGCGAACGGCCATGGAGAGCTGATGCTATGCAATTCGGCAGCCGAGGCATGGATGAGATTCCCATGTCTTTGACATTGAACGCACTTTTTGATGAACTCGGCGCAGTTTCCCTTCAGAGTTGGCCAATAATAACCGGCTCGCAAGACTTTAGCCGCCAGGGTTTGCCCCCCCGAGTGAGATCCGCAAATGCCTTCGTGAATTTCCGCATCACATAATCGGCTTGTAGGTTATCAATGCACCTGAGCAGTGGGGTGGAGAATCCCCGCCAATAGAGCACTTCGGCTACCGTGGAGTACCGAGCCGCTTGAGTTCGTAATTTCTTGGCTTCCATCGGATCGGTTGGTAATTCGTCTCGAACAATAAAGTTTCGAATGGCAGTCATCCAGGTCGGCACTTCGACTTCGGTTGACATGCACTCGGCCGTCACACTCAGGGAGGGAATCTCTAGGTGAATGGTTGTGCGCAACTGTTCGGGCTTCCGGCTGCTGGCGAGTCGGGCTAACTGATCAGCTCGTTCATTGTTGCATCGTGGGACGTGCTGCACCTGAACCTCAATGAAATCGTCCCTGTGCTTTTGGAAGAGGTGGTAGTATTGCAACAAGTTGGGATCCTTGACCTGGAAGTTGTCATTGACCTGTTCGGTCACAATCTTCGAGTCAGTCCAACATATGACTTTTTTCACACCCATCTCGGTTGCCAACCGCATTCCTGCTAGCAAGGCTTCATACTCCGCTTGATTATTAGAGGCTCGGAAGCCGAAACGCAGAGATTGCTCTACAGTGATGCCCGAGGGACTAGCTAGAATTATACCTGCCCCACTTCCTTGAGCGTTAGAGGACCCATCAACATGCATGGTCCACGACTCGTCTTTGAAACGGCTCGGAGGAGTGAGCTCGTTGATGAAGTCGGCTAAATGTTGTGACTTGATGGGGCCTCTCGGCTCAAAAGTTACGTCGAACTCTGAGAGCTCAACTGACCATGCCATCATCCGGCCGACAATCTCAGGTTTCCTCAGGACTTTGGCAATTGGACAATCGGTTCGGACAATTATCTTGTGGCTTTGGAAGTACTGCCTGAGCCGGCGGGCGGTGTAGATGAGCCCTAAGGCTACTTTTTCTATCAACTGGTAGCGTCGTTCGGCATCCTGCAATGTCCGACTGATGAAGTACACCAGCTGTTGTTCGTCTTGTTTTTCCTGAATCAGGACGACACTGATTGATGTGCTAGAAACGGCTAAATACACAATCATGTCGAGGTCGGCGACTGGTTTGGAAAGGATTGGAGGTGCGCCCAGGCGTTCCTTGAACTGTTGGAACGATGCCTCACACTCCGGGGTCCATTTGAACCGTTCAGCTTTCTTCAGTAAAAGAAGGATAGGTCTAGTTATCTCGGCCAGGCAAGGAAGAAACCGAGAGAGGGAGGTGAGTCGGCCTGCTAACTTTTGAACCTCCTTCAGAGTACTTGGACTTTTCATGTCTAGGATGGCCTGACACTTGTCGGGATTTGCCTCAATGCCTCGGCTGGACAGCATGAATCCTAAGAATTTACCGCCCGAGACTCCGAACACACACTTCTCGGGGTTGAGTCTCATTTGGTGGTGCCGAAGCGCCTGAAACACCTCGGTCAAATCTTGTCATGTGCCGACACTGTACTTGACTTCACCACCATGTCATCAACGTACACCTCTATGCTTCGGCCAATTTGATCATGAAAAATTTTATTCATTAATCGCTGATATGTGGCTCTGGCGTTTTTTAAGCCGAACGACATAACTCGGTAGCAGTAGTTTGCCATTTCAGTAATGAACGCTTTCTTCTCTTCGTCTTGAGGGTGCATACGGATCTGATTATATCCTGAGTATGCATCAAGGAAGGATAAAAATCTGTGGCCGGATGCCCCATCAACAAGTCGGTCAATGTTGGGCAATGGATATGCATCCTTAGGGCATGCCTTGTTCAAGTTGGTGTAGTCGGTGCACATGCGCCACTTCCCGTTCGGTTTCTTAACCATGACTACATTGGGCAACCATGTTGTATAATGTACTTCTCGGATGAACCGAGCATCTAATAGCTTTCCCACCTCAGCTTCAATTGCCGCCTTCCTTTCCTCCCCGGCCTTCCGGCGCCGTTGAGCGATCGGCCTTGCCTGCTTGCTCACTGATAACTTGTGGCAAATAAAGTTGGGGTAAATGCCGGGCATATCAGACGGGTACCAGGCGAATAAGTCACTGTTTTCAAGGACCACTTGCTTAAGGGCCAGGCGCTCTTGTTCGGATAAATTGGTCCCGAGGTAGGTGACTTGAGCTCCGGACACCCCCACCTGGATGGGTTGCTTGTCTTCAATAGGCTCGACCCTCTCATCTTGATCAATCCGGGGGTCGAGGTCTAAGGCCGACTGCTGTGATACCGAATGTACCCCTGCTGGTTTTGTTGCTTCGGGCTTCATTTCCGGTAATCGCAAACTAGCAAAGTAGCACTCTCGCGCGGTTTTTTGATCAGCGTGAACCGTGATTACTCGTCCTGAGTCGGCTGGGAACTTCATAGCCAGGTGCGGAGTGGAGACGATTGCACCGAGCTGATTTAAGGACGGCCGACCGAGCAAAATGTTATAGGACGTGTTGGCATGAACCACCACATATTTGACCGAAACGTCTCTGTATTCGGTTCCTTCAAACCCAAACCGGGTTGACAACTTGATATAACCCTTTGTTTTGACTCTTTCCCCTGAAAATCCTACCAAAGGTTCATCGTAGGGAATTAATTCGGCTTCTGGGATACCCAATTGTTTGAACGTGTTCCAATAAAGGATATCGGCGGAGCTCCCTTGATCTACCAATGTCTTGCGCACAATGCAGTTGTGAATTTCAACGCTAATTACCATAGGATCATCCTGGTATGGGTCGATACCTTTGAAGTCGGCCTCGGTGAAAGTTATGGTGGGTAAGCGGCGACGAACAGTTTCGACGGCATGCACATGTCGAACGACCCGTAAGTGTCTACGCTGTGCCGACGAAGACGAACCGCCGCCAGCGAAGCCGCCGGCAATGGTGTTGATGACTCGGCGAGGCTGCGTTGAAGGATCTTCTCGCCTTTCTCTAGACCGACTGCGTTCTCGATACGAACGACTTTCTGTTCTTTGTTCAGCCTGATCGTCCCATCGCGACCGGTGGGTGTTTCGGGATGAGTTCGAACGGTCGACGAAACCTTGCAAATGTCCCTGTTTGATCAGATCTTCAATCTTATCCTTCAAGGCCGCACATTCTTCTGTTGAATGCCCCCGATTGCGGTGATACCTACAAGACTTCGTTGTATCGGCCCTAGGAGGGGTCGAAGCTCGTTTCGGGACGGCCAGGACCTCCGAGGTCAACGCTTTCTCAAGCACTGCCGACCGACTGGTATTGAGCGGTGTGTATTGTGAATACCTTGGGCCACGAGGGGGCCTCTCGCGGGATGCTAATTCTTTCGAACGGCTCCGAAAATTGTTTTCAGTCGGCTTTTCCGGCTTAGCGGCTGTCTCCGTTCTGGCTTGATTGCGGAACTCTGCTAATTCTTCCATTTTCATGTATTTATCGACTCATCGCCGCAAGTTATCCATATCGGTCGGCGGTTTTTTGCAGATGCTGTTGGCAAAGGGACCTGGTTTTAGAGCGGTTGTGAGATGATGTAGAGCCACAGCAGGGTTTAGGTCTCGGATTTTGAGAGACGCTTTGCTGAATCGGCTCATGAACGTTCGAAGAGACTCCTTTCTATCTTGACGAATGCTAACTAATGCCAACGAGGTTAGCTGATGAGGGCGGCTGGTGGCGAACTGGATTGTGAACTGGGAGGCCAGCGTGCCGAATGAGTCGACAGAATTAGCTGGGAGTCGGGTGAACCAACTCAGCGCTCGCCCCTTCAAGGAAGTCGGAAAGATTCGGCATAGCGCGACATCATCGGTGGTGCTCAAGGTAACCTGTGTCAAAAACACATCCACGTGCTCATCTGGGTCGGTTGTACCATCGTATTTGTCAAGGGGCAGGGACTTCCAATGGTCAAGAAGTGCCGATTGCATGATGTTCGGCGTAAATGGATGTCGGTGTGCTCTGGCCGGCATTGGTTGTGCCGGTCTTCCGATCGAAGCATGGATGTCTGGGGGCGCGACAGAGGTATGAGGAATAGAGGTGTGATGACCGTGCGAGTGGAACGATCCCTGAGTGTGGGTCGTCTCAGATGGTTTCCATGTGGGGTCTCGGTATTGGTTTTTTAGAGCAGCATTCTCTTCTTTCAATGCGGCCATCTCGGCGGCATCTCTCTCTCGCTGCTGTTTCATGGCGATCATTTCCTCCTTCATCTGGCGTACCATATCGGTCAAGTTTGTCTCCTCAACCGTCTCGGCCCCGGACTGGTGCTCCTCTTCGGATTGTTGCCCTTCAAAATTAGTATTCCTTGTCTTTACCATGATTCTTTTACTCGTAAACTGTCGATGTTTCTGCAATGCTTTGGGTTCGGCCTCACGGTGGGCGCCAAAATGTACCTGCTCGAGGGTACACTCGTAGTCTCCTTGTTAAGAAGGGCCGAACGGATACTTCAAACGGACTCTTCAGAGGGGGGAGGTACCTGCAAAAGGCACTCCGACGCTCAAGTCAGGACAAGCACGATATTCTAGGATAATTAATGAACAGTGACGTACCTCGTTACGTGTGACCTATTTATAATACCTGACATGGGCCTGAACGTGGTGGGCCTATTCTAATTTACCAAATTAGGTAATACGATGCTAATCAGCTAATCATGTCTTAATTATGCACTTGTCCTTGTTAACTGTGATTTGTACTATAACCCGTTTTACCTATCGGCACCTTGCCGAGCCGACAGGCTAATGCTTGGGAGGTTGCATGTCTTCGACTGTTGACCGGGCCGGTAAACGTTTACTTGGTAATCTTATCGGATCGGGATTGGGCCGAGCCGATACGTAGGATGCGGGGATGCATCATGCTGTTTGCATCGACCTTCAGCCGAGCCGATGCTAACGTTAGCCTTGGGTATGGTCCAGTTCGCATGGGTGTCTGACGGAACGGCACGTGTTAGTCAACGTGACCAATAAGGTCCTCCCGGTACAATTATTTTTACAATTGTCATTATCATCATCATTTTTTGTAATTACGATGTCTATCCTTATCACCATTATTATTATTGTTAATGTTGAAACCACCAAATCATCACTATTACCATTGTTTCACTATTAGTCCATTACTACTACCATTGTCAACATCATGTGACAACTATAATGATAATAATAAAGATGACAATTGTGTAAGTGGTGCGATGGTGGTGATAGCAACAATGTCGTTACTAATACTAACACTATCATTATTGTCATTATTATTATTGTTGTTATCATTACTGTATTATTATTATTATCATCGACAATAGTAACAATGATATGCAACAACAATAATAATGGTGATAAAGTGGTTGTGAATGTAATAATAATAACAATTTCATAAAAAAATGTGTTTATAATTAAGTTATAATCTTGAATATTAATTATTTTTATTCATGATTTAAAGGTTAATATTCAACGATCTCATATCATTCATTAATTTATAACAAGTTTCAGGGACAACTGAAGGGCGAGGCTAACAAAGCCATTGCAAATAGGCCTCCATAAAAAAAAATATATTTATATTAGTATTTATATAAAATTTTCAAGATTTCATAACTTAAAAAATTATTTTTTCATTTTTAAAAATTCCTTTTAAAAGGTCTATATCTAAAAGATATACAAATATAATTATTTTTTTCAAGTGCTATCCTAAAAATATTTTTTTATCAAAATTTTTTATTATTAATTTTAAAAAAAGTCTCACAGTAAAATTTATTTTAATCTAATAATTAGATCGATCGATCCAGATATGTTATTATTAGATGTATTATATATAAACAGATATTAAACTTATTTTCTATATTATTATGATTTATTATTATTATTATTATTATTTTCTATATATTAGTATATAAAAGCAAGCAAAAAAAGTGGAAATTAGCTAATTTAAAGTTTTTATCACCCTTTCTTGTTTCGTTTAAAATTTTTGTATTAAATATTGACAAATTAGTAAAACAAAAAAAAAAAAACTCATTCTTTAGTAATTCTTTCACCTTTATTGCTTATCATCAATGCTTTAATGAGTTGTTAACATTAATTAAAAGAAATAAAAATTAAGAAAATATCGGAATAAAAGATTTGGTGGACCTACGTGTAAATTAACAGTCCGTACAATATTCCTCCCCGTGGGTATCCCGTCTACTTTCCATGCATGCATATTTGATATTTCAGTTTTTGGAAAGACCAATATTTCCATTTTGGCACTTCATATATTAACTTTTGGTACTTCAACAAATTAATGTAGAAAACAAATGAGAGACTAGGGCTTTTCTTTTATTTAAATGGACCTTAATCCTCTTTCACATTTGAGAACTTTTTCAGTCATCGTCAATTATAATTAATTTTATCTTTCCACCATGAAGCCATTATATAAGCATCTACAACTAAAATTTGAGTTCAACCACAAGATTCGCCTGTAGTGAGAGTTAGAGTTGGAGTAACATGCATAAGTTATTCTAAGTTTAATATTTATAAAAAATAAAAATAAAAAAAACTAAATTTTGAGCAAATTCTCGCTTAAATACAATATTTCTAAGTACTATTTTACTTAGACATTATCGTGTTTAAAAAAAAAGCCTGTTTGGCATTGAGTTTAGTTTTAGTTTCTATAAACAAATTTGAAAACAAAATGAGTTCATTTAAATTGGAGTTTAATTTTTTGTAACCAATTTTAATACTTTAACATATTTTTATGTTTGTTTAGAGTTTTGAAAAAATATTTCTAGGTATAATTTATTTTCTAAAAAATAGTCGCAACATGATTCACTTCATTTTTATTCTCATGATAAATGATGGAAAAATTGTATTTCCATAAAAATGTAAGTTTACTTATTTAACACATTTTTTATTTTAATTACTTTAAAATTTTAAAATATTTCTATATATTATAAAATTCTACCATATACATTTTTAAATATTCTCATAAATAACATTTCAATTATAATATTTTAGGAAATATGATTCCTGGAAAAATAGTGACATAATTTGAAATAAATGTTGTTACACTTCTTCGATCTAGGTAATGTTGTTAACTTTGATAATAAGGATTGACGAGATTTATTTGCATATAGTTTTAAAAATTGGACCAAAAATCTGCCGATTGGATTGGCTTATCCAAAGGAACTGGTCCTTAATTGATTTGCTTGATTCTCAAAATTTTGCATCAAATTGATGAAAAATTAGTAGAACCAGACTAGAGTCAGATAAAAAAAATTGGTTAGACCAATTTGAATCAGTCCAATTACAAAAGTGTTTTTAATTTTTAAAATTTAATTTAGAATATTTTTAATAAAATACATATTTAATAAAAAAAAAAGTTATAAATTAAAATAACTTATTTTTAATACTTGCCTTTATTTATTTATTTTTATAATTTACATTATGTTAATTGGATACATTTTATTCTAGATGTTAACTTTTTATTATTAATGAATATTTTTATATTTTATTAAATTTTAAATTTAAATATTATATAATATTTAGTTTAGAATTTTATGTATATATTAAATTTTAAGAACTTATAAATAACATTTATTTTAACTTTTAGTGTTATAAAATTATAATATTACATTTATGTAATATTATTTTTGTATTATTATTATTATTTTATTAATATCAATTTGATTACGTTTCAACTCTGCACCTTAAATATTAGTACCTAAACTAATTTAATGACCGATCTAATGTTAAAGACATTGGTTTGAAGATACTTTCATACTTAATTGAGCAAAAGCAAGCACATTCCAATAGATTTTTAAGCTTAAATTTGATTTGAATATGAAGAGGCTTGTAGGGGAAAAAAAATTACTTGCAAAAATGTGGATTACATATTTTTCTTGTAAATGTGCTACGGTGAAAATCTTTGTAGTTTTCAAAGACTAAAGTTATGCTAACTACACTTTTGAAACTTTTGAAATATTATATTTAACTTAACTTTCTAATCATAATTCAAACACACAAAATATGATATCAAAGTGAGAGAGGAACCCTATAAATATTTGTGTTGATTTTATCTCTTCACATATTCTTATAATTACCTACATTAAAGGAGTTGAATTTATGAAAAAAAAAATTATTGTTTTTAAACTATGAATTCTTAAATCTCATGTAGGAAGTTAATTACCTTCATTTTGTCCTATCGAAGTTTAAGTATTTTAAAATCTTGGCATCGTTTGGGATGACTTTGAGTTTTAAGTGATTAATTTTTCAGAAACCAAACCCATTTTCAATTTTAAGTTTTCATTTGTAAATTTTTTTATTATCAATTTTTTAAAAAGTTTTTGCAAATATTTTTGGGAACAAAATGTTTTTATTTATTTATTTATTTATTTTCTTTTGGAGGGGAGCATTGCCAGCTTTAACTAATGGAACTCCAATGTTGCAATGGGCCGTGGATAGTGGCAGATGCAGTTGGAATATTATTATACACTTAGTGGAGAAGACACACTACTTGCCTCTATTATTTAAAAAAAAAAAGTAATTATTGATTATTTAGAAATTTATATATATATATATAAATTAAATTAAAAAGGTGAAAAAAAATAATAGAAAAGAGTAGTTTAAAAGTTGTCATAAGATTAAAATTGTCTAAAAAATTATATACATACACCAAATCAACTCATCACCTATATAAATGTAATACATTTTAATCTTATCGCTTAGATTTAATCGATGATAAAATTATTTCTACAGCAGTTTAATACTCGAAGTAAAAATGGAATTCATTTTATATTGTTAGAATTGTACGGTCAATATAGAAAAGCCATCTCAACTCTGATGTAAACTGGCATATGGTGGTTTATTTCAATTCATTTCATATTTTTTTTGGTTTTTTTGTTTTTGTTTTTGGTAAATCCATTCATTTCATATAAACATTAGATATTATTATTTTAAAAGAAATGGATATAAAATATTAGTCACATGCAGTACTAGGAATGACAGCACATAATTTGAAGGATTATTAAGCACACGAATTTACAATTATTTACCGTACCGTAAACAATAGTAATACTTGTGTTTTTTCATAAAACTAATGAGAAACACATTCAAAAGGAAATCGATTGTGGCACAAGGTGGCAAAACATGTGCCTACATTATGAAGGAATAAGATACCTAGCTCCACTATTTAACTAACACTGATTTGCATAAGTGGTGGTGATTTATATTTTTTAATTAAATTATCTAAAATCTAAATTTTAATATTAGATATAAAATAAATTATATTAAAAAAATACTATTTTATATATATATATATATATATTCATAGTTTTTAATAAAGATATAAATATTTTATACTAATTGTATGATTAAAAAATTAAACTCGACCTAATTAAGGAAGATGAAGGGTTCACGTGCCCTTAATTAATTTGCAACATGATGACAGTTTCTTCCCATAATCGCCTGCTACTTATGTTCAAACCCTTTTTAACTTCAATTCAGCAATTATATGTTGACAAAATATAGCTGGTACGTACGATACTTCTGCCTAGTTGGTTTTAATTAATTAAATAAATAAAGTATATAAGGTATAAAAATATAAAGTGCACAAGCGGTCGAAAGTAATTAAACAATTCATTTACAAATTATTTTCTCATGTATTTTAGTTACTTTTTTTTTTTTATCTCTCTGATATATACTTTTCATTTTATCATATAATTTATCGGTTCTTGTTTTTATATTGTCTGATATATATTGTATGTGTGTATGCAGTTGATTTTGAACAACAAATGGTCAACTAATACTGCCATTAATGCAGATCACACATTGTTCTTAATTTTCTGTCTTTTAATTTATATCACTTTTTAATTGAATCACACAAATTTTATAAGGTTGAAAATTTAATTTACGATAAAACTCGTGAAACTTGTTGAATTTACCTAATAAACGAAGAGTAAGTTTTAAAAAAAGTATATAAAAGGTACACATATATTATTAATATTTCTTCCACATTATATTATTGCTTTATAAATAAATAAAAAAACTATGAAGCAGCAAACAATAAAAGTGAAGTGGTAGCAGCTGCCAATTGCTATTATTTTAAGGAATTGCAATATCATATACGAGTATAAATTAAACACCAAGGTTTAGGGGATGCAGAAGTGATCAAGTTGGAAAGGGTTTTGTTCTAAACACCTTTTCTGCAGTATCCATCTTCTCTTGCAATGCCATGGCCTTGAATAATGTTCTATACATCTTGTTTTTAGACATCAAGGTTTGCTTCTTCTTCTTCTTCGTCTTTTTCTTTCTTTTTTTTTTTTTCCCTCATTTTATTTTTTGTTTTCTATATGGTAGTGCCCAACAAAATCTTTTTTTTATGCATTCAGCAAATTAAAAACAAGGTTACTCCATTTCAAATTTTAACATCACTTTTAAGGCCTTCAATTCTTTTTCGTCTCTTAGGAGTTTGCAAGGATGGATATATATGCTTTCATCTCCGCACATTCCCAACTTTAATTTGTTAAAATTCTTTAAATTAATTCTCAAGAATTAGAGTATTATATATTACCATAACGGTTTTTTTTTCCTGTAAAATATTTATTACCAAATTAATGTTTCAAACGTACGAAATGGTTGTTAAATAATTTACCTTTTCATATACATAAGCACTTGATTCTTTACATAAACAAATAAGGTGGCATTGTCCATTTTTTTATAAAGAAAACTAATAATGCAATAAGCATATTAATAACCTATGGTTTAGAAGATAATAAATTAGTTTGGAATTTGTTATTATATATAAACACATTTATCCATTTCTAAATTGGAGTTATATTTGTTCCCTTGTAGCAATAACTGTGATAAACATGTGCACTGGTGCTGAATCTCGAGGAATTGTGAATGGTGACCCCGTGACTAATTCAAAGGTTGGAATGAGAATCAGAGAAGATGGTGAAGGAACCAGAAACTGTGACTGTGGCAGATTCGTTGAAAATCTTCATCAACAATTACATCACCTCCTCAAAACCCTTTTCCCTACCCTTTCGCTTTCTGAGGTTTGTTACTATCTCTTCCTCTGCGAGTCGTTGTGTTCTGCAAAAAGTGTGTTTTGCTTTTGTTTCAAAAACTGAAAATGTTTGAAAGTGTCATAATTAGTAGTAGAATTTAATTTAATAAGATAAACTTGTCGTGTCCATGTTGTACGGAAAGAAGCTATAATAATAAATAACACTATTAAGGAATTCAAAAAGTTTTTTTTATTTTTAATATGTTACTCGTCGTTGTTAAGATGGGTGGAGGCCAGGTTTCATCGTGTAAATTTCTCATTCTTGCTCACTTATCCAAAAGAGAAATAATACTTATTATCAAACTATAGATTAACGTTAAACACTTTGTATTCTCATATGGAAATACGATTTATTTAGCGAATATCTCATGTTTAATCACTGTCGTACTCGAAACCTATCAAACCAGTTACGTTAGGGCACGGAATTCTCAAGCAAGAAAAAAAAAATTGTTACCAAAGTTTTTAGTATAAAAATGCCTAACACTATACTTAGCATTATAGTAACAACCATTTATTCCATTTCTATCAATTCTTTTTGTATTCTCATTATAAACAAATTTCATTGGTCTTTCCTCTCTTTCGTTAATTATTTTTTAATTTACAATAATTTTGTAATCAATGAGGAATGATACATCGATACCAATTAATACGATACTAGATACTTGAGAGAGATTGAGATATATTTCCGAGAGAAAAATATAAATGTAATAAGTAATGTGATGTGATAAAATAAATAAATAAAAAGCAAAAAAAAATATTTATAAGAAAAATTATTAGATAATTTAAAATTGTCATCTAACTATAGTCATGATCAATCGATTTTATTCTATATGACACATATTCAGGTTTTGTAATTTATGAAAGATAATTTAATAACAGTCAACTAAATGTTACGTGAAGATAAGATACAAGCGCCACAAGAAAACTTCGTCAATTGTAATGTACTGTGTAAGTGTATCATTAAAAAAAATATATAGGCCAATTAATTAGCAAAGTACTGGAAGAATAATTTTCACGATAGAAAATAAAAATATATAAATTGAAGTCAATTTAATTGGAAAGATTCAATATTTACTTTATTTGTTTTATTAATATTAAGTCTTGACAAACATATACCTTTTTAATAATATGCTAATATAGCATAGATATTACATTGATTAATCTAATCGTTAGATTAAAGGTTTTATGAAGTAAATTAAGTGGACAAAATTTTTTACATTTTAAAAAATATAATATTTTATTTGAAATATAATTAAATATTTAATTATTAGCTTGATTACATACTTATAAATATCTAAATTATATAAAATATGACATATAAATTATCTTATAAAAATTGTTGAAGATGTAATTTACCTTTTATCTAATTAACAATTTTTTTTTACCTATTATCTAAAAATGTTGTCCGTGTGTGTGGAGTTATCTTTTATTTTATTTTTTTGAGTATTAGTTTGATTTCTTAAAGTTAAGATACAGTGTAAAATGTAAAATCACTATTTTAAAACTAATTTGAATTTCAAAGATATATTAAGAAACTAAGTTATGTTCGAGGTGGTGCTGAGTTTTTTTTTTTTTTTTTTTTTCTTTTTCAAATCTTATTTTTAAAATAAAACGTGTTCGGATAAAATATTTTAAAATTATTTGATATATTTTTAAAATAATTTTAAACCTTATGTCAAAACCATGAAAATTGGTTTCTTATTTATTTTTTTATTTTTTATTTTGAGTTGTAAATTTACGTCATTGGCACTGGCTATGCCAACATGATGCTTATTATTATGAAAATTATTATTATTGTGATTATTAAAATTATTGCTATTATTAAAACTATTATCGTTATTATTATTCAAACTAATATTGTTATGATTAAAATTATTATTATTACGAAAATTATTGTAATTTTTATAATAATAATAATTATTATTATTATTATTTGAAAATTAACTTTATTTTATATCATTATTATGTAATTTTTGATCCATATGAATTTAAAAAATACATAATTAGTGAAATAGATGTTGTTGTAATTTTTTTTAAATGAATTATAATATCGATATTAATATTTTAAAACTTGATCTAAAAACTATAAAAGAACTATAAGATTTTAAAATATAAATCTAAAAACTACCCGAACAGCCTAAGTTAAAGACTACTTTTAACCTATAAATTAAAGTTTAAAACATCAAATTGATGTTAAAGTTAATATCCATATTTTTTAAAAACCAATTAATATCCCTTTTTCAAAACGCTAATTTAATTATTTACTCTAGATAATATAATAAGAGTTGATAGTTACAATGCTACAAATTCTTCATCTTCAATGACTGCTTGATCACGGACCAAGGCACTTGATTATAAAATAGTAAATAGGTTGGCAATACATAACATAACCTTCGTCTAGTTGGCTAAGTTGGTCGAATCATTTGAGTGCCACATTTTAAGGTGGAGGCCATTGTTGTTACTCTAGACTCGAATGTGTGTCGTTTAGGCAATTAATAATGATATTAGCATATTATTTTACTTATAAAAATTTTCACGGACTTTGAGGTAAACTCGTTTGAATTACTTAAAGAGAAAAATATTTTGTAAGCATTAAAGTGAGACAACAACAATGTCTCTTACAAAAAAAAAATGTAAGAAAACAAAAAATTGTGCCGTTCATAATCAAAACAAAATTTGTCCCCATTTTAGGGTGTTTATATGTACGGGTTTTCATAATATTTGATAAATATTACGATTCAAATCAAATTAATTATTTTTTTATCTAATTTGAACTAAATTAATTAAATTTTATATTGATTAATTTTAAATTTATATATTTAAAATTTGAATTAATTTGAATTAAATTAATTAATTTATATAATTATTTTTTATTTTATTAATAATTAATATGTATGTATTATTTTAATTATTTTTAAATTTTTATGTTATAATATATATATCTTTTTTATTTCTTTTTTTAAATACTTAAAAAGTCAAGAAGAACAATATTATAATATATTAAGTGTCATTTTCACATTGTAGTGCATTTAAAATCTTTAAATAAATTAAGAAAAGAAATTAATAAAAAATCATATTACAAATCTATCAATTTTGTTAATTTTTTACATATATCAATTTAATTAATATTGTAAATGTATTTACTTTGAGAAAAAAGATTATTTTTTTAATTTTTTTTAAAAAAAATTATTGAATGTTTGATGACCCAAATCAAACAAACTAGCTCAATCAATATCAAATTGGTTCAATTCAGATTAAACAAAAAAATTTATGAAATCCGAATCAAATAAATTTAATTGATTCAGATTAGATTTTAATTCAAAATTAATATGATATTTGAACACCCTTATATATGTTTTAAATTTAAATATATAAAAAATAACAAATTATAATAAATTTTACAAAACTAACATGTAAAGTTACGATTATCCTATTTATATATTTTATATTAACTTTATTTATAATGTATAACTTACTATTTTATATATTCTTTTATGTTCAATACTATTGAATTTAGTGGATGGATAAATATTGATGGATAACCCTTTTAAAGGAATTTAAGATAAACTTAAAGGATTTAACTTTTTTTTAATACACTGTTTCACCAAAAAAATTTTAAAAAAAATTGATTTCTTCTCATTTTTCAAGTTTTCAAGTTTAAATTATGCAACATGCTTATTAACTCTGAATATACTTATATCATTTTATATTATGTCATTGTGAAATTATATCTTTCCACCCATACAAGTGTACTTTTAGAATTTTCCTTCGTCGTACATTGGTGTTTATGCAAGTTATTTAACGACTATAATCACCGATTGAAGCATAACTATTTAATTATTTTATGTAAAAAAAAGATCTCATTGTGTTTGTAGTTACAAGTGTTTGATTAGTAAAATATTTTTTTCAAAAATATATTTCTTTTATTCAAAAGCTGGCAAAACTAAGCTATTTATCTGAGAGAAAAACCAAGTCACACATGTCCTAATCTGATAATCAAGATGAATAGTAAACAATCATTTTAGAATTTAGAATGTAAAGTGAATTATGAATTTAACTCAATTTCATAAAATTAATTTATAAGATAATAATTGCTACATTTATTTCCTTTGTTTGCGTTATCTATCATTGAAGAAGTATGAATTTTTTTTCCAATACCATTATCATCATCATGTATAACACTTGCAATTCTTTTGCTGACATATATGAAATGCATTTGCATGCATGCAGGTGAAAGAAGAGTTGAAATCACTAGCCAAGATTTCAGGTCCAATAATGATGACCAACGTGCTTCTGTACTCTCGATCTGCCATCTCCATGATTTTCTTGGGTCGCCAAGGCGAAGTGGAGCTAGCAGGAGGATCCCTTGCAATAGGGTTTGCCAACATCACTGCCAATTCCTTCCTCAAGGGTCTCACCATGGGAATGGACCCAATTTGTTGCCAAGCATATGGTGCAAAAAGATGGTCAGTTCTCAGCCAAACCTTCTGCAAAACCTTGTGCCTCCTCCTCCTAGTTGCCATCCCCATTTCATTTCTATGGCTAAACATGTCACCCCTCCTTCAGTGGCTAGGCCAAGACCCTGAAGTCACAAAGGTTGCACAAGTTTACATGGTTTTCTCTATCCCAGAATTGCTTGCACAAGTTCACCTCAACCCCTTGAGATCTTTTTTAAGGACACAAGGCCTAACTGCCCCTCTAACTGTGGCTGCATCTTTTGCTGCCATCTTACACCTCCCCATCAACTACTTCTTTGCATCATATTTGAAGCTAGGAGTCAAGGGCATTGCACTAGCCACAGGCTTGAACACCATAAACATGATCCTAGGCTTGGTGCTCTATCTTGTTCTCTCAAAGAAGCCACTAAAACCTTGGGAAGGGGCCACAATTGTTTCTGCTTTTCATGATTGGAGACCACTACTAAGCCTAGCATTGCCTAGTTGCGTCTCAGTGTGCTTGGAGTGGTGGTGCTACGAGATAATGCTCTTCCTATGTGGCCTTTTGAGTAATCCACAAACCACAGTTGCAACCATGGGTGTGCTTATTCAAACAACCGGGTTCCTATATGTGTTCCCGTTTTCATTAAGTGCTGCATTGACAACACAAATTGGTCACTCACTTGGGGCAGGCCAACCCTTACGTGCTCAAAGCATAGCCACGGTTGGACTCTTCATTGCATTTGCTTTAGGGGTCTCAGCCTTTGTTTTCTTGATGTTTGTGAGGAATGTGTGGGGTAAACTCTTCACAAGTGAGGCACAAATTGTTGACATGGTCACCACCATTCTTCCAATTCTGGGGCTGTGTGAGATTGGTAACTGGCCTCAAACTGCAGCGTGCGGGATCCTATCTGGGACTGCACGACCTTATGTGGGTGCAAGGATCAACTTGTGTGCGTTTTACTTGATTGGTTTACCCGTGGCAGTTTTTGCTGCTTTCATGCACAGATATCAGTTGAGGGGTTTGTGGTTTGGAATGTTGGCAGCGCAAGTTTCGTGCTTTTGTATGATGGTTTACGCATTGATTCAAACAGATTGGGGGCATCAGAGTAAAAGAGCTGAGCAATTGGCTCAAGTAACACATGATGAGGAATCTGGGCTCCTTAATTCTGATTTGTGAGATTTGTTTAAATCAATTTTGCGCAATGATAGGCATTAGAACACGACCAAATTACAATTGTTGAGATTTCTTGTCATTGTTCTTGCGTTCTAATAGGGATTAGGAACATTAATTATTTCTTCATTTTTTTTCCCTTCGTATTCAATTAGATGTACATGAGAAAAGGTTTCTTTCGAATTCATTCATGATGAAATTTTAAATAACAATACATCGTAATTAATTAGGTGGGTACAAATAAACAACCTGAGCTCATGATCCACAATCAATTTTTCAGAGAGATACGTTCCCCCAACCATTGCATAAAGTTTATTGATGTGTAAATATTATTTATAATGAAGTTTTATTTTTTCTTTAAAAATATATATAAGGGTGAATAATTGACAAGTTATCATTATAATTTCATTACCTGAGACCAGCATAAGTTTCAATATAATCGAGCATAACTTTATTAATCATGTATTTTTTTTTGTTGGTATATAGTAAAACTCAGTAATTTTGAAACGTCTTTAACATGGACATATATTTTATTTATGTCTGGTGGTACATATAATGAGAGATGATGTTAATTTTTCTAAATTTCTAGAGATATTAACCATATAAAATCAATTACTAAACATATGGTACTAGGCCCAATGATATCACTCAATAATCACCAGTCGAAAATGAAGTTTACAATATGAAGGAAAAAAAAAAAAAGAACACAAAAAAGTCCAATATGCTTATATGCAGTTTCATGTGCAAAATCTATGTCTGGCCCATGATTCTGTTGGTCCAAATACGACCAACCCTTGTTAAAAATCTGTCTTTTATGGTTTTGCACTTGCTATGTGAGATTGTAATCAAGTCTTAATTCAATTGGACAAAGTTTTTCCATTTTTGTCTCTTAATTTATAGCTTATAAATTTCACCCAACTTGTAGGTTAATTTTATCATATACGTCTTAAGTTATTAGATAACTTAGTGTTCTCGATTGTAATGTTATCAAACTCGAATAGGTTATTAAAAATCTACCATATATCAAGTCCAAAGAACTTATTCAATTGAAAATATAAATGACTTAGAATAAGTAAATTTACTCGGGCGATTTTTCAGAAAAAAATTGGTAATTTAACTAATTGCTGAAAACCGGTTGTGCTGCACACAAATCTTATGACTTTTGCTTCAAGCAATCAATGACAGAAGATTTTAATGTTTCATGTGAGAGGCGTATAATTTATTAGGGACTTATAAATAAATAATTAAATAATTAAGAATTATGTGAGAGGCATATAACTTACTAGGAATTTATAAATAAATAATTAAGGATTAAATATAATGAAGTTAAAGTGAAACAATTTTTAAAGATAATTTTCATTTGTAATAGTTTAAAAAGGGTTAATATCCACTAATTTAAAGCAAGTTCTTTTTCTTGACAAAACACTTATTCTTTCAACCCTAACCATCACATATGAAGACAGACTAGAAAGAAAAATAAAGAAAGCGAAATCTTTTTTTTTTCTTCACCCATCAAATTAATTACCAAATATTACCCAGAAGTCTTGCTAGGAAAAATGATTTGCATAATTTTTTTTTTAATACAATGAGAGTCATTAATTTCTAAGATTTTGTTTGATTTTTATTGGTAAAGACATCATTCGGGTTGCAAAAAAGCATATGACTCTAACACTTTCATTCTTGAAAACATAAAAATTCAAAAAAAAAAATCTCTAAAAACGAAAAATATTACTTACTTAGTCTAAATTTAAAAAAAAAATATATATACATGATAGTATTAATATATATTTAGAAACTAAATTGACAATAAATAATTATTTTTATGAGTTATAATAAACTAATTAGAACTTTCAAAAAGAATTAATTTATAATATTTTTTTATTATTTGGGACTAAAGTCTCAACGATATACATGTTTAAGAATTCAAATGATATTTTATCCATTTTTTATTACTGAAATTCCTTAAAAATATGTATATATATAACTCACACGTGGTATTAGGACATCCGGTATGAAATTGTAAGGCATGAATATTTAATATGTACGTGATTAAAGTTGAAAAGTTTGTACACCTCAATGATTAAAATTATAGGTCGTTATTTAATTGATTTCTACACCTCAAGTGATAATACCTTTACGTGATTTAATCGAGACTGTTATTTGAGTTTGTTTCAATTAATTAACTTATAGAATGATTCCTAAAAATTTATTAAGTATTGACTGTGCTTTATTCCTAATTTTTAAGACTTTTTTGTTTTTTCTTAAAATTATGTATCATATTGAAAATATAACAGATAATTTTTTATAAAACTTGCCACTTTTAAATGCTTTAAATCAACTTTAAGAATTATTGTTAACATTTTCATTAAAATTCTACCGTTAGCAGTATAAAGGATATAATCATTATATTTATACATACATATATATATATATATATATATATATACATACATATATATATATATATATATATATATAAACTTAGGTTAGTAATACACACACAAACATGGCGAGAGACCAAATTAGGTCACCAATGCATATAGTTCCTAAAAGGTGTTACAACAAAATGAAAGCCAACTCATTAATTTTTGCAAGTTTTCCTCAAAAAATTTAAATCTATGTTATCAGAGTTTGTTTCACATTGTAACTATAAATTGATAATCTTAAGAACCATAACCTATCCATCCACGAGTAGAAAAAATTACATCTTAAGTAATAAGGAATCAATTAAAAGCAAAAACAGTATCATTAAATACAAATAAATCACTTCAGCTAACCACATAGAAAACACAAGACACACCTAAATTTCTTTAATAGAATAAATGAGTGAGAGACAAACTTGAATGAAGGACCAAAAAAGTATGAACCAAACCTTCAAGGACATGGGTAAAAGTAATAAGGGATTTCAAAGTGAAAAGCATAACACTTAATATGATTAATGATATGCATTTGAGACTATAATCCATCTTAATTGAGGATTAAATATTTAATAAGTTTGATCATCAAATATATCATGCTTAAAGTAAAGTTAAGGACGTTATTTTTAAATATGATATGTTGTTTAATTTTTGTCAAAAATAAATTTAGAAGTGGTAAAAAAAGGTTTTATTTTGGTCTGTCTTATCACCAACATGCTTAAAATGGGATGGGGTGGATTAATGGAGTCTTAATTCATCTTACTTAAAAGCGAGTCAATAAGTTAATCTATCAAAACAAATTTTTTATTATTAATTTAAATTGACAAATTTAATTTAAGAACTCATATTATAAATTTCTCTTTCAATTTCAAGATTATAACACAAAAATAATAAACTACAAATTACTAAATATCTTTCTCTTTCAATCATATTAATAGTAAATACGCACTTGGTGTCATTCCCTAGATGCCCGATGCCAACAAGACAAGAGGTTCCCTGTCTCACCCATGTCTAATGTAAACTACTCGTGTTTGGTGCGGCTGAGGTAGAGAGTCTCTTACTCTCTCACGTCTAGCATGACAATAGTCCATGCTTGGCCCCAATCGAACAAATGAACTCCACTTGACTCATGACTTGTGCCGCTACACTAGGCTCGACATGGATTCAGGTAGAGACAATTCTTTCTTTTTACACTTAGTGTCACCAATCATGTGCCCAACATAAAAAAAAAAAAAAAAAAAGAACCCCTTGTTTGGTTGAAGGCACGTTTGATGTCATGAAGGTACTCATATATAACCTTAAGAAAAACCAAAACTCAATCTACTCATCAATTCATCTTTCTTAAATTAGAATTCAACAACTAAAAGAAAAACAAATTCAAAACCAACAATTAACACAAGCTTCCCTTACCTCCACTCCAAGCACAAGAGAAAAAGGAAGAAAAAAAGGAGAACTCTAGGTTGTCGTACAATTTCAACCAACTAAAATTCTCACCTACGAGCCTTGCTAACTCTCTCTAGATAAGCTATGGAAAGGGTAGAAGGAAGATTCAAGTAGAAAAAAGGAACTCATAAGATTCACGTCTTAAAAAAAAATCTTATATACCATTTCTTAGGTTGAACTAAAGTAACTTTAAAATATCACTTTCTCATCCTCTTACATGAAAATAAAAAAATTATAATATAACTATACCATGAACAATACCAAAAATAAAAAAATTTCAAAACAAGTAAAATATGAAAATGTTCATTCTTGTGTTTATTAATTTTATAAAATAAACACACTTTTATATTACAGGGACTAAAAAATTATTTAAACCCTTAAATAATTTATAAAATATTAAATAATATAGTGATATATTATTAAATTGTAGTATAAAGATCAATAAAATATAATATGATTTTAAATAATCTTATCTTTTAATATGTAATTAATGATTCAATATGTACTTAAAAAATATTATCTGTGAAGTGGTGTCTGTCTCTTAATTGGTGCTTGTCATATATATTAACCCTTACCTTCTGGATGAAGGATATCATGATTCAACAACAAAAATGATAGTTTAAAGTTTTTTTTTTATATTAATAATAATATTACGCTAATTATATATGGATGTGTAAGTTCTACTGCTTCATAGGCGAAAAGTCGTTAATGCCAATAATTGTCTACGGATGTTAGGTTATTGAATTTTAATGAGTTTAGTTTTCATGGTTGACAAAACTATATATTGTACCGAAACCGGACCGGCCCGTTCTGCACCCGCTCACCACGTACAAAAATTACATGCAGAACGGCCCGTTCTCCCTCCAGAACGGCCCGTTCTCAGCTACGATTTTCTGGCCATTTTAATAGCTTGGAACGACCCGTTC